CTGAGGGGGGGAGGGTGCGATGTGTTAGACGTAAACATCGGTCGGTGTGCTCGAGGTTCTGAGGGGTGTCCGGTCCGCGGGGCCCGCTGCCGGCAGAACACGGATGGGTGCGTGCAGAGAGCGAGGTGGCAAATGTTTATGGTGGTTCGGGTGCCTGGGCAAGCACAATGTACAAGCTGAGGAGGCACAAATAGAGGCTGAGGAGAAGGTCTTGGGGGTGGTGGTTGATGAGAAACTCGACATGAGCAGGCTTCAGGGTGCGCCCCGAGCCCCACAACCCACCGCGGGCTGCATCAAAAGAAGCATGACCAGCAGGTCAAAGGAGGTGATCCTGCCCCTCTACTCTGCTCTCGTGAGACCCCACTTGGAGTATTGTGTCCAGTTCTGGTGTCCTCAACATAAAAAGGACATGGAGCTGCTGGAGCAAGTCCAGAGGAGGGCCACGAGGATGCTCAGAGGGCTGGAGCACCTCCCGTATGGTGAGACAGACAGAGAGCTGGGCTTGTTCAGCCTGGAGAAGACTTTGGAGAGAAGATACAGTGGTCTTCCAATATGTGAAGGGGCCTACAAGGAATCTGGAAAGGGACGTTTCACAAGGGCATGTAGTGGCAGGACAAGGGGCATTGGCTTTAAACTGAAAGAGGGGAGATTTAGATTAGACATTGAAAAGAAATTCTTTATTATGAGGAACATGTTGCCCAGAGAAGCTGTGGCTGCCCCATCCCTGGCAGTGTTCAAGGCCAGGTTGGAAATATGGGCTGGTGACATGGTTTAGTGCGAGGTGTCCCTGCCCGTGGCAGGGGGGTTGTTGGAACTGGACGAGCTTTAAGGTCCCTCCAACCCAACCCATTCTGTTGATTTTGTGATAATTTCCTTTTTTTCGTTGGTGTAGTCCTGCTGAGCTGCCAAACCCTGTGTGTTGCCCCTCTCATAAGTAATTCAGTGAAAGCTGGAGACAGCGAGGTGGAAAATTTTTCTGGTGGTACCAGCATAGTGTGAACATCACCAGTTGCTCCTCACGTTTGAATTTCATTTGCCTTTTTACTTCATGTTAGTAAACATTAAATAATGCATCAGGAAGCAACAGCAGCACCATACATGATCAGTTGTGGACTTTGACCTGTTCTCACTCAAGTGTTACCACTACTAAATTATAACAACCACTTCTAAATTACAACAACCTAGTGTTTAGTAGGTATAAAAACATCAGTGGGGTAGTATAACTAACCAGGAAGAAAATAAGGATCAACACACACACACAAAATCCTCTCAAAATACTGTATAATACATACTGCACCCAAATCTGCAATACCATGTGGTTTGGGCTCCCTCTAGCATAAAAAGATACAGTGGAATTAGGAAAGAGAGAAAACTGAAACCCAGGGATGCTTAAGGGGGAAGACTGTAACTCACTTGGGAAAAGGGTTAGCTTTTTGGGAAAGGGAGGGGAAATGTGAAGGCCTGTCAAATGACAAGTGATATGACAGCAAATAGGAGGTGACAGTAATAGAGCTGTGTTTTTCTTAGTTGAGAGAGTTTGCTGGAGCAATCCTGCAGGACTGCAAAAGCTCACATGGTTAACAGCTGACTTGTTCTGGTGCAGGAATTCTGGTTCCAGTGCAGTTTTTAGATTCCAAGTTTAAGTTAAGGAAAAGGAAGCAGAATTCCGGATTAAGTGGGGGCATTTCTTCCTGAGTATTCTGCTGGAAGCTGCTGACAGGGATTCAGAAGGGTGACAGAAATACTCATGTAGGCAATATTTGTAAAGGGCTGTTAATAAAAATGTGTGACCTGGGACTGGGAGCTCACTCTATATTTGCCACATTTGTAGACCTTCCTGTTGGAGAAGGGATGTTTGTTGGACCAGACTCTCTATCTTGTCTGGTATGATATTCCCATCTTTCCTATTTTACAATGTTAAAACTCAGCATTGTCTTAGTTGTTGATTCCAGGCTGCTTTAGTAGTTTACAGTAGTGCTTTGTCTCTGGGACTAGCTTTGCTAGATTAGATTTGGTTGCTGTTCACTGCTCACAGTGGGCATTTTTGAAGAGTGGAAAGTGTTGACAGTGTTTTATTGATGCTTTCTTAAACATTAAGAAACGAAAACTTGAAAAGATGAAGTTTTGATATCTTCAGTTCCTTCTCTGTACAGTCACAGGTCAGCTACTCTGAGCGAGGCAAAGTCCAGGTGGTGTGTTTGCTGGGAGCTCTGGGTGGTATGGATTTTTGGCCTGAAGACTGTACCTGGAGACCCTATTTAATTTTTCTTGACTGCCTGATACTTTTTTGTTCCACTTTGGGTTAGTGAAAAACTAGAAACTCAAAAGAATCCCTTTAAAATACATGTTTTTATCTTTTAAAAGCAGAATTGATACTGTTGGTTTTGTTTTGAAAATTGCAAGCTAAGTCTTTCCTGTTTTGTTTCAGCTCTGGATGAAGGAGATATTGCCTTGCTGAAAACATATGTAAGTAGCATACATTTACTGGAGTGTTAAAGAAAAAAGCAAATCCTGTTGGGAGTTGAATGCAAGAGTGGAGGGATATGTGCAGAGTAGTTCATAAATCTGCTTCTCCTAATGCTTTTCTCTCCTACCAAAATATTTCTCCCTTTCCACCTTCCAATGAGAAAGCCCCAAACCCAGTCCACAACCCTAAAAATAATCCAGTAGGTTTGTTAGCATGAAAGTAGTGATTTTTTTTCTTTTCCCTTTTTTGTTTTGTATCTCATAACTGATTGTCATAGAGGTCTACAGCTAGGGCTTTCCTAGGGCTTCTTCGCTAACCAACTTTCTTGCTTGATAAAGAACAGTAACTTTTAAGAACCCTTCTCCCATCAAATTTACTTGCTTTAAGACATCACGTTAAAAAACTACTAGAGAGGGATACAAAGATCTTGTAAAATGAATGTAATCTCATAAGAAAAACATAAGAAGGACATGGAGCTGTTGGAGCAAGGCCAGAGGAGGCCACGAGGATGATAAGGGGGCTGGAGCACCTCCTTTATGAAGACAGGCTGAGAAAGTTGGGGCTGTTCAGCCTGGAGAAGAGAAGCTGCGTGGAGACCCCATAGCAGCCTTCCAGTATCTGAAGGGGGCCTTACAAGGATGCTGGGGAGGGACTCTTCATTAGGGACTCTAGTGGTAGGACAAGGGGTAATGGGTTTAAACTTAAACAGGGGAAGTTTAGATTAGATATAAGGAAGAAGTTCTTTACAGTGAGGGTGGTGAGGCACTGGAATGGGTTGGCCAAGGAAGTTGTGAATGCTCCAACCCTGGCAATGTTCAAGGCCAGGTTGGATGGAGGCTTGGGCAGCATGGTTTAGTGTGTGGTGTCCCTGCTCATGGCAGGGGGGTTGGAACTTTATGGTGTTAAGGTCTTTTCCAACCCAAACCATTCCATGATTCTGTGATCTCAGGAGGAGTTTTCCACGTACGATAAGGCTTAAAATGCAAATCTTCCCTCTCCACCAGAAAGTACAGTGGGTCTGTGAAAGAACTTGTGACACATGAAACTTGCAGCTTGGGGTAGGTCTGGATTTGGATACTTTTGCCAAAAGTGAATTTTGTTGACACTGAGACGACTTTATGAATCTCTGGAATGTGGCTTGCACCCGCTGCGGCTTCTCTTTAGTTGCCAAGTTGATATAAAGGAGATCCCAATCTGCCCGCAGTAGGCAAGGCAAGATAGTAAAGCATTTTATCACGAGCAATGCTTGAGCTTCTGATTTGCCCTTGATCTTTCTGCTGTCTTTGGTGGATGATAGAAAGGTTGGGTAAGGTAGTTGAAGCACTAGTACAGATGATTTTTTCATAACATACCCAGAATTCTGTCTCCATATAATTTTTACTAAATCTTTTTTAAACTTTAGGAAAAACAGTAGTTAAAAAAAAAAATAAATAAGGCTGAGCAGGTTTAAAAGAAAAACAAATCCTTGAAGTTTACCAGTGTGAGAAATTTCCACTTGCACAATTAGTCCGTGCTGTGTACCTGCACTCTGGTTTTGCAAACAGCAGTATTGTTACTGGAACTCAGTACTGTCTTTCTTGGCTGTGATCAGTAGTTGGTATGATCTTAAGGTCCTTTCCAACCCTAACTATTTTATGATTCTATGATTACACCAAAACAGTCCAGTGAACATCTTGACTCTCAAGAGCTATTGTAATTTTTTCCTAAACATGAAATAATGTGAGTTACGAAATCTATGTGATATTTCTTTTCCAGGGCCAGAGCACGTACTCAAGGCAGATCAAGCAAGTAGAAGATGATATTCAACAACTGCTCAAGAAAATCAATGAGCTCACTGGTATCTTTCTTTCTTAAGATAACTTGGGATAGAACTGCTGCGTAAGAAAGATGGGCAGAGACTTTTTAGCAGGGCCTGTTGCAAGAGGTTAAGGGGTGATGGTTTTAAACTAAAAGAGGGGAGATTCAGGCTGGATGCAAGGAAGAATTCTTTACAATGAGCGTGGTAAAATCCTGGCACAAGTTGCCCAGAGAGGTGGTGGATGCACCGTCCCTGGAGACACTTAAGACCAGGCTGGATGTGGTTCTGGGCAACCTGGTCTAGATGAAGATGTCCCTGCTCATTGCAGGGGGGTTGGACTAGATGACCTTTGGGGGTCCTTCCCAACCCAAACTATTCCATGATTCTGTATACCAAAACTAGTGGTTTAAGAAGCTGATCTGAAACAGCTTCTGCATTGGTTTGTTACTGATATCTTTCTTTATTTGGTAACGTGACATATTGCTTTGTAGGTCATGGTCTTTTGGATTGGACAGGGCTAATTGTGCATAGAGTTACGTGATTTTGTAGTGTAACACCTTTTTTTTTGAAACTGTAATTTTTATATATTACATGACATGAAACAAATGCCCCTTTCTGCCACCAGATAATTTGTTGTGATTTGTGTCAAGCTGTGTTTAAATAGTGAGTGAACTTCCATATGCTGCAATAACCCAAAATATTATCATTAAGCAGTGGTACGAGTCCTTGTATAAGAAAGAAATGTGTATCAGAGCAGTTAGCATTTAAAATCAGCTGGTTTAAAATCAGCTGGTCAATTGTGGCAGTTAGAATAAAAATTTATTTATTCCCTGGTTTTATTTTGTTCATTTCACTGGTGTATGTTTGCTGCCCTGTTGCTAATCCTCTAGGGGCTCTCAGTTGTGCCAGGAAGACTGCAGACTCCCTTTTCCAGTAAAATCATCGATTCTTTCAAATACACCGTGGAGGTGGTGCTTTTTATATCCGTGTTTTGGAAGATTTATAAGGTTTTAATCTGTGTGAATCCCTTAACTTCTGATATTTTGCACTAAAGCTTTCCCTCAGTGAAAGCACTTGCAAAGTTTCACTCCTTTTCTGCAACTTTCAGGAATACACTTACATCTGATACCTCTGTCCAGCTCGCTTGTAATGGTCCCCACACTGCACAGCTGTATTAGAGGATGGCTGGACTGGTATCTACATGTTTAGCTGTCACAGTCACATGGGCCTCCTTTCTTTAGGAAGTCCATCAAAGATGTGTGTGTTTGGAGGTCTCAAAAAGCTTCCTGCAGGCTTATATCTGTGGTTCTTGGTGTGGGAAGGGTTGCTGATATACCTGTTAGGTGCTTCCTTTTCAGCCTGTCTGTGTTGTACATAGGAATCAAGGAATCTGACACTGGCCTGGCTCCTCCTGCTCTTTGGGATCTGGCAGCAGATAAGCAAACTCTCCAAAGTGAGCAGCCATTGCAAGTTGCACGGTGGGTGCACTCTCCCTCTTTGCAGTGGAGCTGCATAGTGTTGAAGATGTGACTTACAGCTTATACATATGCTACTTAGAAAAAGGAAGTTCATGTGTTGTGCATGTTGAGAGCGCTCTTTTTACCATTGTATCGAAAAGGAACTGTGCTGTCCTTGATGATGTGTTACATACTTCATACTTGTACTTATTCCTGTACTTATTGTATGGTGCTGTGCTAAGAGAACCACAAGTACAATAGCTATTTTGGTGTGTCTGGAAAATACGACTCTCTTAGCTTGCTGTTTATCCAGGTAGCAAGCCAGTTAGTTTGCCTGGTGGTGGTAACTGAATGTTCTGTATTAGGTGTACAAAGATAATCAATGCAGACTCTGAGGACCCCAAGTACATTATCAATGTCAAGCAGTTTGCCAAGTTTGTGGTGGATCTCAGTGACCAGGTGGCGCCTACTGACATAGAAGAAGGCATGAGAGTTGGGTGAGCAAAATCTTTGTGTTCTTACAAGTTTTCCTGGAGACTGAAGCTTCCTCATCTGATCCATTAGTTTGACCTGTCAACAGCTATCATTTCATGGTTTTGCAGTGGTTGAAGTTACAGCACTAGTATCTTTCTGCAGGAAGACAGTAACTCACGTGCATGCAGTGCTGGGATCGTTGGATTTTGATGTCATTCTGACAAAAGCCATGTGTCATGGATGGAAACTGTTCAGTTTGGGCCCCAGTAGTCCCACTTTCAAGGAGCCTGTGTAGCTGGCTTCCTCTTTGGCAATCTGCACGGTTACACACAGGGCAGCCACAGGGAATATTTGCTGAGGAGGTGAATCCTCTTACTTTTAGAATCAATATTTTGCCAGTTTGCTCTGTGGGATATTTTGAAGTTTATTTTTCAAAATACTTTGGAATTTATTTTTTTGGAACCTTTCAACTTCTCTGCAGAAGAACTCCAGTTTCTAGCCCACCTGACTGTTGGCTTTCAGGGCTGGGCTGTTGTGATGCCAGAGAAAAGAACAGTTTAAGAATTTGGCTTCTAACTTACAGAGTTGTTTCTACATGACTGTTTAATTAACCAGTGTTAAAATAATAGTCTTTATGCTTTCTCACCAGGGTGGACAGAAACAAGTATCAAATCCATATCCCCTTGCCACCAAAGATTGATCCCACCGTCACCATGATGCAGGTGAGAACTGCCTTTACTTATTGTGACAGTGCTTTGTCTTGTAGTTGTGGTTAATTTGGCTGGATTCTGTTCCAGGCTGTTGAAAGCCTGGAGGACTATAATATGCAGCATCAGGCCATTAACTGCTCGCTCACCTTGTTATTGTGTAGGTGGAAGAAAAGCCAGATGTCACTTACAGTGATGTTGGAGGTTGTAAAGAGCAGATTGAAAAGCTGAGAGAGGTGGTTGAAACCCCTCTGCTGCACGTAAGTAACCTCCAGATTGAAACTTCTAGTATTTTGAGAGTATTCTGGACATCTGCTAGCATTTGAAAAACCAAGAGAAGATAACCTAGCTGAATGCAGACACCTCAGTGAGAGAAGGCTGGTTTTAACAAGTGCAGTCCAGCCCAGCCTGGTTTATATTGCTATTCACTGATGGTTTTCTTAATTTATATATACTCTTTGATGCACATAGTCTTTAATTTGCACATAACCTTGCCTTCTGTTTCCCACCATTACAGCCTGAAAGATTTGTTAACCTTGGAATTGAGCCTCCCAAAGGAGTACTTTTGTTTGGGCCACCTGGTACGGGCAAAACACTCTGTGCCCGTGCTGTTGCTAACAGGACTGATGCCTGCTTCATCAGAGTCATCGGATCTGAACTGGTGCAGAAATATGTGGGAGAGGTAAGAGCAAATTCTTGATGGAGTGTGGAGAGATTTGCAGGTTTCCAGTGGTGGGGACCAGACAGCACAGCGGGTACGATGTACCTCCATGCTGGAGATGATAGATACAAATAGTGGAGGGGCTGTCAGACCCATGGCTGCAGGTCAGGCAATCACACACTGTCATTGATGCAGTGGATTCCGTGGTGCAGAGTTCAATCTGCGGTTCAGGAGGGCTCCAGGATTAGATTCTGTTCCCAACTCTGCCACTTATTTTGGGCCTGAGGTAAATGTATTTTTGAATTTAAGAGTAGTAACTTGTCTCTCCTTTATAAATTGCTGTAAGATTTATGAATGTTCCTTTATATGTATGTCTACAGATAAAATAGTTCTATCACTGGAACATTACAAGTGTTTGTAAGCATGAAAAGTTTAATTTAATAGTTTTCCTTTAAAATGTCTTGGATCTTTAACAAAATCCTGATATTTTTTTTCCTTTCAGGGAGCTCGAATGGTTCGTGAACTCTTTGAAATGGCCAGAACTAAAAAAGCCTGTCTTATATTCTTTGATGAAATCGATGCCATTGGAGGTATGTTGGTGGTATCTATGGCTTCTCATAGGAGTACCTATAGTATCTATAGTTCTCATAGGAGAACTTTCACGTTTCTTTCCATGTTGTAATTCCATATCTGGATTGCTGCAATGCAAGAAATGTGCTTGTGGATACCTGTTTAGCAAAGCTACTACCAGCACACCCCACGTGTGGGAGGCTCTCAGGAGATGCTTTATATAGCCCAGATGAGGAGTCATTTTGCACATTTGGAACACGCAGAGTATTTGAACTTCTTATAACTTACGTGAACTTACAGTGCTTATTCTAACTGATGGGTCACACCACTCCTTGTTTGAAACACAGCGTTTTCAGATAACCCCTCACACCTTTTTAAACTTGTCACAGGGATTTGTATGTGATTTAAAACGGCTTTCCAGGTGTCTTCTATGCAGCAGCTGTGACACCTCCGCAGGCACTGAGGGGGTCCCTCTGTTGTGTGCAGTGTGTGTGTCTTCTCTCTCCAGGTGCTCGTTTTGATGATGGGGCTGGGGGGGACAATGAAGTGCAACGTACTATGCTGGAGCTGATCAACCAGCTGGATGGTTTTGACCCACGGGGCAACATCAAGGTGCTGATGGCTACGAACAGACCCGATACACTGGATCCAGCACTGATGAGGCCTGGCAGGTTGGATAGGAAGATCGAGTTCAGCTTGCCTGATCTTGAGGTGAGAATGCTTCCTCTCACAGCTAAGTATAGCCTGGTACCAGAGCGTCTTCAGTTAGGGCATGGTTGTCTGGAAGCAGTTCATGAGGTTTAACAAAAACACTTAAGTGAAACTATGGGGAATTTTGGGGGATAAAAGATGTGCCAAAAAGGTTTTCCCACACTGCACAGATTCCTTCTCTGGTGGAGAAGCCTTGGTGAATAGCTGTAATCACTGCATATTCCTGTCTGAACAGATAAAATAATCCTTTAACCAGATCCCTGATTTAGTTCTTAAGTTGGATTGTGTTTTGTTTGGCTTTTTTGAGAGAGATTTCTTGAAGTACTTCTACCACTAAAGCTCTTTTGAAAGTTACTTTCCTAATGTGACTTATCGTGGACATGTTTAACATGTGCAGACATGGGAAGCTTGGGCAGCAAATAAAAGATGTATTCTCCAGTTGCCTGTGCTGTGCATGTGCACACCTGCAGCTGCCTCTTTCATGCCATGAACCGTTGTCCTCACTCTTTTTTCAGGGGCGAACTCACATTTTCAAGATACACGCTCGTTCCATGAGCGTTGAAAGAGACATCAGGTTCGAGCTCCTGGCTCGGCTGTGTCCCAACAGCACAGGTAAGACGATTAATGATTTGTAACCAAGTTTGGGCTTCACCTCCACTGTGGTCAGTGTTGGACTGGTTCATCCCTGTCTCCCCAGGCGCGGAGATCCGCAGTGTCTGCACAGAGGCCGGCATGTTCGCTATCCGAGCCCGCCGGAAAATCGCCACAGAGAAAGACTTCTTGGAAGCAGTGAACAAAGTCATTAAATCCTATGCGAAATTCAGCGCTACCCCCCGCTACATGACCTACAACTGATCCTTTGGAATGTCTTCCCTGTTCCGGTAGTTAAACTTCCTGGGGAACCCAAATCCAAGTGTAGGAATCTCTATCTTGTTCTTGGAAGCTGGAAATAAATGGTAAAACAAAACAGTAGGGGTGAAGTCATTGTGTGTCCTACACCAGTGGAGAATTGCTGCTATAGAAAAACATCCCAGTGAGATTCCAGTAACACACAGCCTAAGACAGGGAGGTATTTTTAAACTGGGCACCTGGGCAATGTTAGAAGCCCACAGTTTAGGATTTATACCCCAAAACTTACTGTCCGAGCTGTGGAGGGGCTGAAAGATCCCCAAGTGGCTGCAGGGTTTCCAGGTGTGCTCAGAAACACTGACATAATGCTCTGCACCGAGGTGTAGGGATGTCCCAAGGAAACTTGGGAACTACCGTGGGAGAAGAGCTGAGGAGAAGGCACATGAGGTGCCTCATGCTCTGAGTCATTGCCCAGATTAGGGAAGACGTGAACGGATATTTTTTCTCTCCTGGGTGAACGTGTTGGTACCATCATAACTTGTTTGGTTTTTTAATTCAGTGGTTTTCTTCATCCCTTTTGCTGAGTTTCCCTGTTTCTTACAAAATAGTAAGTGTGTCAAGAAGGAGGAAGAAGCATAATTTCTTAGTGCTAAGGGAAGATTTCTTTATCCAGTTCCTGCTCTAAAACGGACTAAAGTTGATAAAGTTTTCGGTAAGAACAGTTAGGGAGGGAGGCACGTTCATCGATGAGACAGACTTTAATTCAAGCCTGAGTGGGAATGGTTGTTCGCAAAGTTTCCAGGTGGTTCAGAAAGCAACCGAGGGCACCTCTCTGTTTACCAAGAGGAGTACTTGAAATTGTTACCTTCTACTTCCACAGCTCTCAGCGATGGCCCCCCCAGACTTCACAAACTGGAGTTTGCGAGCTCTGAGAGACATCCCACTCGGAGGGAGGTGCTGGTCACAGCCTGCTGTGGTCCAGGACTGCTCAAAGGGCTTCACTTAGGACAACCGTTCATAGGGTCACAACATGATTTGCTTTAGTGATTAGTAAATTTCCACCCTGGCCACAACCCACACTGGTAATTACTAGAACTTTCCAGTTCAGTTCCAGTAGCAACGGCCCCGTTCCACTCAGGCTAAGACCAAGGTGAGGAATGTTGGGGGGTGACTGATGATTCCTGCTTTTGCTTCCCACCTTGGCCAGGCAAGAGGAGTTCCTGGTCTGGTCAGTGCTGCTCCCTCCGTAGCCATGCAGAAGTGCCTGTGCAGCCAAGGGACACTTCACTGCCCAGCTCATTACAGAAAGGCCAAGGCCTGACAGGGATTCCTGAGGTGGCCGAGCAGCCCTGGGCAGTAGGGGGGGATGCATCGCTAGAGCCTGTCACTGCAGACAGACTGGAGAGGGGAAGATGAGCCCTGTTCAGTTTAAAGGATGTGGATTTGTTTAACGGAGCACTGACAAGCCTAAAGTAGGATTTAAATTTTTAGATAGCAATCTGTTAATCAGTGTGGGAAAGAGGAAGTCAGTTCACTTTTCAGAAGCTAAATGGCTGGTAAGGGGGAAGCAGCACTTCAGCTGGGGGCAGCAAAGCACAGGAGGAGGCAGTACCCAGGAGCGGGTTGCAGAGTACCAGCACCAGCCAGGCTGGCATCTAGGACTTCCTTGGCAAAGGTTTCCAGTCCAGCATGTCAGCAAGGCTCCAGGAACTGCTGCTGTTGCTACCAGCATGGGAAATGCAGTGTCAGTTGTACCTTGTATCACTGTAAGGCCTGGCATGGACAGGGCTTCCTGTGGTGGGGGAGCCGGGAGGGTGAGAAGCAGGAACCTGAGCCAGACACACACCTCCAGGGACCTTGGCTTGTCCCATATGCAGTCTTGCCAAGACAAAGCAGAAAATTTTGGCAAGTCATAATCACTTTATTTTGGAAGTTGACACGATTTTGACACGAACTGAAGAGACTACATAGTTAAAAACTGAAGCTGCAACAAGCTGAAAGTAGAAAAATACACTGTTTGTAGGTACAAAGGCTTGTTAAACTAGTTAACATTATAAAATGTACCAAAAGTTGTTTAAATAAGCCACCCGATGTGTTAACATGCACTGAATTCTTCCTCTGAACTCCAGCTAAGCAGTAATTTCTGATGCAGAAAGCTTCCTATCCCTATTGGCAGGGAGTCTGAGGAAATGAAACATCCTCCCTGACTGCCCCCGGTTCTTGGGAAACCTGGTTTACCTGAAGCAAGCCCTTCTTGCAACAGAGCTTGAAGCAAAATAAAAGTATCAAGTTCTGCAGTCAGAAGAGGGGAAGTCACTTGAATTCCCTTACGTACAGGGCTTTTGATTTGGGGGTGCTAAAGAAAATGTCACTGATGCTCTACTTCCCCTGTGCTGTTGTCATAACCTGGAGAGAAACACCTTGAGGCTCCTACCCCTGCTCAGATTGACAGTGAGTGTTGTTAAGGGAATACAAGCACTGAAGATTTCTTTCTTTTGCTTGAATTACATTTCCATGGCTTTCATCTCACACCTGAAGTTAAGCAGTTCTGCAGCAGCCGGGTCGTGCAGCCAGCAGAAGAAAACCCACACTACTGCTGCTTTTAAAACCCAAACACGTAACATTTTTGAGTTCTATTGAAATCTGTTTCTCAAAGCACTTAAAAGCTGAGGCAGAAGCAGCGCTGCTGGTAGGAAGGTGTCTCAGGCAATAGTAGAGTACTTCTCCTTTGAGGGGGGGGACACCACTGAGACTTTAGACCTTATCTACATTTTTATTCCAGCTTAAGAGACTGCACATCGGGCGTCAGTTCTTAATGTAATTTTAATAGGCTTCACTCCTGCCTTCAACCAGTTTTGTTTTCTAACTTTGAAGCTAAACTAATTTTAGCTCAAAATCAGGTGTAGGCTTTTCTACTGGGTTTTGGCAGTGAAAGTACCATATTGATAATGTAGTAATTCAATGATGAGTTACTAATTTGAAGTTCACTTACTTAGAGTGAAAACATTCAGGCAGTGAAGGGTTTAGTTGAGACAGGTTAGATGATACCTAAAAAACCCAAACCAACTGTACCATCCAGGTTTAAAAAGAGCAGCAGCTAAATGCCACCGTGTGAATTCATTAATCTGGCTGGTAGAGTGTTATAATTTGTATGACTGTCGTATGCAGATGTTGACATCAGGCTTTAAAAGTCAGCTGAGAAAGTTCTTTAAAGACGCTGGGACAGTGCATTGTAGTTGCAGAACAGTTACTTCCTGCAAGATCCCACCTTGTAGTGAGTTAAAGTGCCCATTTTCTCAACAGGAATCAGAATGTCACTGTACCTGTCAGATCCTGATGGTAGCAGAACACACTGAATTGTCATGTCTTGCATAATTTGGTGCTTGTATGCTGTTGGAAGGCTATACCCTGATTGAAGGAATAAAATCAAGAGCATGAAGGCTTCCACTTCCTTATCCACTCTTCCTACAGAAAATAAGCACCACTCTATACCCGTAGATACCAACAGCCTCAGGCTCTCTTTAAACCTTTTGTGCAAATTAAATATTCAGAAGGAGTCTCCATCAGCACAAATGTGGCTCCGATGCTGCTCGATGCCGCTCTTCAGAGGTCAGTCAGCCTGCGGAGCACCCCTGCCTCTCACTTGGCAAGCCAGGACAGCATCGTGAATACTGTGGAACAGCAACTCCCTCGTGACGGTGTTATCAAAAAAGTTCAGTCTTGTCAGCTCATTCACGACGGGGCCTAAAACCAGAAACCAAACATGGCATCAGGGCGTAAACTAAAGTACAGAGATGGAAGACAACGGTGGCTTGGGAAGAACACCACCACCTTGTTCTCTTACTTGTTATTACTGATTTAAAATAGCCAGGGGGGTCACATCCTACTTCTACTCCAGACAGGTAATTCACTTACACAGATGCCTGTTCTTGGCTGAAGGTGACACAATTCCAAACATCAGAAGCTTGGAACATTGCAGGCGTTCCTCCTCATCGTATTATTACAACAATTTCAAGATACAAGGTTCGGTGTGGCATTGACAATTTGCCAGCTGGAATGAATGGGCGCAGGATCTAGTCCTCACAGAATTGTGCTCTACTTTCACTAAAGTGAAGGCTCTAATGCATATGGGCTTGCTTTTCCTCAAATCCAATGTTATGTGAAGTGCTGATCCTACTGAGGTACCTGACAGCAGAAAGTTCGGGACCCCAGGGAAGAGAGGAAACACACTGTCCCCCATAAAGCTCACAAACCCCCCTCAACTCACCACTGCAGCTGGCAATACAGACACAGACACCAACTTCTTTGTATTCTTTGATGATCTGCAACAGAGGTAAACTGCAGTTAAACACGGGTATATCATTGTACACACTGCAGTTGGGGAAGATGTAAACCAATTACTGTGAATTCAGAATTCAGCTAGAACTTACAGAGCTGCAGAATTAAATCCACGATTAGGTGAGATACTGGACTGTATCTGAGCTGGCATTTATGTCTCATGCTGACAAGTTCCCTATTAGGTATCTCCCAAGACTTCTATGGGGTTTTTTGGGATAAAAGCCCTACTTACTGATTTTAGTGTTTTTGCTCCAACCGAATCCACAAAGTTCACCGGCGCAAAATCCAGGATTAAAGTGTGGATGTTTGCTTTGGGCTCCACAAAATGTTCATGCTCATCAGGAGACGTGTCTTGTACACCAGCATCTGCAGATGCAAATTTTCCATTTACAGGTAACTCATCGTTTGCTATCTCATGTTTCACATTTGCTTCCACATCGTTAGTCTGCGAGAGAAGATAAATGATGTTTAATGACAGCCAATGCTTGTTCAGTGTAGATCCCCTTCCTCCCCATACTCATCTGTCCCTTCAAAAGGTGCACAGCTCCTAACCACGACAGACACCAGCTGCACACGCAGACATACTTCCGTATCTCACATATATCAAGGTTCATTCTCTTACACACAGCCTTTTTACAATCACTTAAATAGCTGAAAGCTGTTGTCTTAGGAGGGAATTACCCATTTCCTTCAAACACTGACACCTGTTCATTTCCTTGCCTTCTCCCTGCTGATCCTATATATTCAAAGGAAGCAACAGCAATCAGGCTCTTAAGTTGGGCTTCTGGTTCATTTCCCATGGTAAGAAACTCCCACCATGGGGGTGAATTTAACCACGCACAACAGCACAAGCACGTTTCAAACAACCCTTCTCACTGGGTTGTTTGAAACCCTTCTCAACCCTGAACCACGCCAGGATCAGCAGTGCTAATGACACTTCTTTATTACAGGGGCTGCTAACTTTAATTAATTTGATTATATCCTGTTTCTGCATGATTATTCCAAGTGTGGGGAGGGACAGAAGCAGGGTCACGCCTGTACCTGCGGACACCACTGCTGGGGCAGTCTGACTGTGTGGAAAGGCTCCGCTATGTGCTACCTGTCTGTAACCAAGGTTCAACAGTTACCTGGTCCAGCCATGAGCCCCTGATCCCCACGCTGCTCCCTCAGCAGCCTGTCCACACTGCACAGTGCTTGCTCCCAAAGCCTTCTCACCTCAGCAGCACTCTGCACCTTGTTTATTCAAGAACAGTAGCACCAGAAAGCAGCATGGCAGCTGATAAAGCAGAGGTAAATATTTACCGAATTGACTAATTTCAGTACAGCTTGCTTTTTGAGTTTATTTGCTGCCTTGATTTCCCTGGCATGCCTCTTCCGGGCTTTTCTCTTTGCTGCTAATATGGCACAAGGGTCCACTCCAGTCTGTTATGAAAAGAAAGCATGATCAGAGGAGATACAGCTTGTAAGGATAACATTGCAGCATCATTTGGCACTGAATTAATCCGTGGCATGAATTTAAAACACAAGCCTGCATTGTTCAGCCTCTCTTGGTGGGGGTGAGAAGGGTATTAAGTAAGAAGGAATAATCTTGGCTAGTGCTGTGTCAACAAGATGGGGAAGAGACAGATGCATCACATTCTTTTCTTGAAATCAGAGAGTGCCATGTTTCAATGGAAGGCTGATTTGAGTGGAGAGAGAGTAAAGGGGAGAGAAGGGCATCTGGCCATCAACAGCTCTTGCTTTGGGGAGGTAAGTACCACCCACCTGGTGGTCACCATGACTCACCATGGGAGCTACAGAAAGGCTGTTCAGAAGTTAGTACAGGTGCAGTTGCTGCCGGCTCAGGCAGTTCTGCCCTTTGCTAGTGCTGTTATTGCCATTCCCACCCAGTCACACACCGGTTAGGCAGGAGGTGAGGCATACTCAGTATGCAGGTCATTTGTTGCTCATGAGAGGCATTAAATGCCCAGAGTATTCCAGTCTCACACTCCAGTAAAGTTTGTTACCCAAGAAGGAAGCTTTTACTCCCAGACATTTTGTTTTCAGTTCAGCAAATATTTATTTCCCTCTGAAACAAAAAGGTGTTCGACCAGTTTGTGCTCTGCACCCACCACGCTCTTCATTCACAAGCAGTCAATATTAAATTACACTTGTCTATTTATTCTCTCCCACCACACTGTTGCTCCCTAAGATGATGTCAGTTAGCTGGAGGGTCACCTTCTCATATCCTAGGGCCACAGGCTGAAAGATGTTCCAGAAACCAGTTTGCATTTTCAAGACAAAGGCATTAAGGAATTTGCTTTACTCACCTTTTTCTTCAGTTCACTTGTATATGACTCACTATTGGCAAAATAAAGTGATGTATTAGCTTGAAATATTTTTATTCCAGGATATTCTTTAACCTAAGGAAAAGAATATTGGATGTGCACAGTTAAGTTTTGTCTGCACTAGAAGAAAAGTACCTGTGTGATCACAAGACGCATACAGCAACACAAAGCCAACCCTGAATTGCTATTGACATGTGTCAGATACAGAAGGTTGACACTGGTGTGAGCAAAGCTGATCAGAAGATCAGAGCCTCTCCCCTTCCTGGAGAGGCTGGAGTACTGCACACAGTCAATGCCATATAACATTTCTCTGTTCTTTGTGTACATCAGTTCTCTGATGTTGCTACCTGCAGGTGGATTATCATCAGGAAATCAAGCAGATCTAGGAATACTTCCTTTCAGCTTTCCTTTCCTCAGACATGATGACTTATTTCTCTCTTTCTCTTCCTCTTTCTCATCTCTTCAGGTACCAAAACCAGATCCTTTCAAATCTTTGGTTTTAAACAGGCCCTCAGATAGGTCTCAATATCACTTCTTTCTTCTGCTTTAAATGAAGTCATCCTTAAACAGGCTGCACTCTTGACATGATACATGCAAATGATCTGGCCAGCAGCAGAGATCCAGCCTGCCATATGTTGCCAATTTGTCTTTATACAGGAGGAGGAAATGCTGACTGCAGTCAGCGTAACAAAAATGGAGTCTCCTCTTTGCATACAGCTATAAACATGCCCACATATACTTCTGCTTTGTATCTTACTCCAAGCAGAACTGCTACTGAGGATGTTTTCAGATTACAGCATCATCTTTTCACATAGGTTTTTACAGACTGGCTCCTTACTAAAAGGAGCTGTAGCCTTAATAGCAGCACCTCTGAGAACACACAGAGTGCAGAAGAATGTAGCTTCTGTTTGTAATAAATACAGCATGACATTGACAAAATGTATTTCTTTCACCAACTTCTGGTTGAACAAAACGGCATTTATATGAAGCTAAGTGTCTGGCAAGTAATTGTGCCATTTATCATCTATATTTCATGGGCAGCGGATGCATGGAGGCAGGGAGATGCTGTTTCGAACGGTTGGTGCAATTCTGAAGAACATACCAGTTTGGATCCTGGGTTCCATGGATTTCATGCAATACTGTCACACAAGTAAAGAAGATGGGCTTGTATGCACTCATGTACACAGCAGGTTTAGCAGTGGTACTCCTATTAACCTGACCGTTTTGTACAAGCTAGTACAATGGAAGTATTATAAAGGTTACTGGTCAAACATACATGCAGTACCTAGAGCTACCATTCTGAACAAAACACCTTTTACTACTAAAATAAAGTTTATTTTCTTTCCCTTCAACACAGCTGGATGCTAGGCAGGCAGCACTGTATGTACAGTATGGTAGGGCTAAGCAGCAAATTGCCACAGTCATCTTTGCTCCACTACATAAAACTCTTCAATGCAGAAGAATGCACTCCTACCTCTTCATATTCTTCCACATTACAGTAGATGTCAGTGTCAGGAATCTGACCAAGGATTCTGTATTGAGGGCTAGAGAGAGATGGAAGCAAACATTTCAGTATTATCACTTATAAAGTGAGTGTTTGATACAAACTGAAACTTACTTTAATGGTTATTCTGCAGTGCCTGTCTGGTACAGGCTGACCTAAACGTGGTTAAATGCAGTGGGCGGTTTATGGCAGGAATACAATAAAGGGGCCATATGGTGACTAGGCAAGTTTGCTTCTGTCAGTGCAAAACCAGTTTATAAACTTAGCACTGCAACATTGTCATTTTCTGAAAAGCACAGGCCAAAGAAAGCTCTGTTTGGCAACAACTGGTGCAACTACATTGGCTACCTTGCAAATATGGAAACTCATACTGGTAGGAAACATGCTGCCATGGCAAAGAGCCACTCTCCTCCCAAAGACAATTCCTGAGCAGATGAACATTCCCAACTCACAAGCAGTGTGACAGCAAAGTACATTATTGTTCTTTTTGCAAGAACAAAAATGTATAGAGATGGCAGAAAAATACTCTTGTTTATGCAGAGTAAATCTTAGAATTTGGTTTCATTCCAATGCAGACTGAAACCAGGACTTTTATACATTTTCTGCCTAGATATCCCAGACTTTGAGCCTAGAAGCCTCACATGACAGCCCTATCCACACATGCAAGAAATCATTTTACTGTAGACCTAGAAAGCTTCACAGTAAAAACTTTGTCACTTGGAATGGGGAGAGAGGAGAAATTATTTGAAAAACCTAAGGGCAGGCACAGTTTTTTGATGAATTAGAACTTTCTTACCAAATCCCTGAACATTCATCTAATGATAACCTGACACAACTTCTGCTTGACCTTGACAATTAGTGCACAGAAATGTAATAATTTACTGAAACTGGCATTGAGCAGATTCAAAGTTCTAAACTGTAGGCATTAAACAAAAGTAAACAAGAAGATTAACAAATATAAGCAATTGAAATTCTTCTGTTTATTATTGAAATTGCAAGTTCATGTCCTCTAGAGACGTTGTGGTCAGAAAAATAACATGTGAACCCTGAATCAGGGCCACAAGAGCATGACCTATATTATGAAGCGGATTCTATACTGTATGCAGTTGAAGGGGGTGGAATGGTCTTCTGTTGATTTGCAACCCTTAAACAAACAGAACCACACAGGAGATCAGCAAACACTAATTTTGATAAAGAAGAAATCTGACCTTTGTGTTCTGTAAATAACAGTTATCATTGCAAATGCTACTGCAGTAAGCAAACCATAGTCTAGTCCCAGGAAAAGAGAAGCCACAAAAGCTACCACCCAGATGGCCTGAAACAAAGAAAAGGTCTGAATTATTATGTGTCCTTTTCTGTTTAACAGCAAAAACAACAGCATATTTCAACCTTGAAACCTATGTATCAATTCTGTTCAGGAACACGCTATAATGTAATCCATCATGATCGCAGACTGTAATTACCTTAACCTTTTAGAAGGGCATAAAAGCTCAAGGCACACTAACATAACATCTGGCAAACTGTCACATATTAATTAATGCTTTAAGTCCTGTCCTCCAAGGAATCCTGTGTTACCATCAGACTCCAAATACCTTAGGATAAATGAAACCCCAAACATATTCAAGGCCTACAAGTAGCTCTCACTTAATTCTTTCAGCCAGTTAATCCAGGAAAAAAATGCCACTGAAATGTTTCCTCTGATGCACTCTTCTGGCCCACTCCAGCCACATTTTTGGTGGATGGCAAATACCTTCAACTAGTTTTAGTTGTTGCTCTGATTTTCAATTTCTTCCCAGACATTCTCACAGACTTCAGTGCAGTTCCTATAGCAACACTGCAAAAGCTTTGCTTTTACTGCGATCAGACTACTCTGACCTGAGTTAAAGGTTGCTGAACAACAACAAAAACATTCTTGTCTGCAACAGATCACTCTCCTAGAGTACTTACAGCTCCATCTCTTACGTTCATCTGCAATGCAACACCAACTTGTAACTCCTTGATAAGTTTCTAACTTGTTTGGGGGCGAGGAAGAAGAGGAGCAACAAATTGAATACAGTAAAATATATGCACAGAGCTGTGTATTACTCACCAGCTCAATCCTACTGGTTCTCCAGAAGTGCACGACATCTCCAAACTGTTTAAACATTCCTTTCAGGTTCACCATGACAATTGCAGCTAGCACTGTCTAAGAATATCACACAAATGCAATTTTCAGAAGCAAAATAAACCCAATGCCAAGTAAGAAATTAAAAGCATCACAAATAGCTGTATTTCTGTGCTTTGGGACAGAGGGAACTGGGGGTGTTTAGCCTGAAGGAGGCTCGGGGGGACCTTATCGCTCTCTACAACTACTTGAAAGGCGGCTGTAGTGAGGTGGGTGTCAGTCTCTTCTCCCAGGTAGCAAGTGACAGGTTGAGAGGAAATGGTCTCAAGTTGCACCAGAGGAGGTTTAGATGGGATATTAGGAAAAACAACTTCACCACGAGGGTTGTTAAGCATTGGAACTGGCTGCCCAGGGAAGTGGTTGAGGTATTTAAATCGGATGTGTAGACGTGGCACTTAGGGACGAGGTTTACTGGTGGACTTAGCAGTGCTAGTTTTATGGTTGGACTTAAAGGTCTTTTCCAACCTAAATGATTCTGAAGGGAAATTGTTTGAGGTATCATTTTTATGTTCTAAAGACAGAGCCCAGAATGTCCAATATTAAAAACATCAACAAAAAGCATGCTGGATCCTTCAAAGTATTATTAATTTCTAGCATAATTACAGCAAAAATGCATACAAAATTTAAAGGTTTCTGGACCAACACCTGACTGTGTTGCTTACTAATCATCCCACAACCTCTGTTTTAGCCAATATTCACTGGCCTCTGCTCACTGACAATGCAGTGCCTAACAGGCGAAACTCCCTTACCTGTGGAAGCGGTTCAAAGAGGTATCCAATAGCCACAATTACCAACAGAACCATAATTGAGGAGAGAGTGCCTGCAATCTGAACAAAAGAAAACAGAAATTATTCCAAGTGCCCCCAAAGGGCAGTATTACTGATTAGCTTACCCCTCTCATGCTTTCCACAAGGCTGTTTTTTAAGTGACTTTTGATCCCTCCCCACCCAAGTTCACCTGTTTTGACTGTTGTGCAGCTTTCTATCCTGGCCCAATCCAGATTTGAAACATGGGAAACTCCACTTAATTCCTTCTGGCCCAGGCAGAATTCTGGCAGTCTAGTGAAGCTTCAGACATTAGCTTTGGAGCTCCAAAAAGCAAACTGTGTTTGGCTCAAAATTTGGGTTTACATACCTGTGTTTTCCCACCAGTGCTTTCCTGGACAAGACTCCGAGACATTGAGCAAGTGACTGAAAAGCTTTGGAAAAATGACCCCACAGAGTTGCATATTCCCAAGGCAATAAGTTCCTGTGTTAAACAATAAAGTAAAACAAAATCAGTTACACTGAGCAACTGTACAAAGCTGGAGCTATCCATCCATAATAATAACAGCATCTTATTTACAGTGCTTTTGAACAACCTTATTGCAGAGAATAAGCAGCCTTATTGTAGCTTATAGTTGTGGTTCTCACACATGCACCAGCTGATACATGTTAGATCATCTGTTAAATAAAGTATCTGACGAAGTGCTGGAGATATTTGCCATCCTTTAATGTTATGGTAATGAGTCAGAGTGAAAACGAAAATGAATGTCAGCATTGCTTGTCTTAAGGATTTCTTTAACTTTGCAATAACTTGAATGTTAACCCTGGAAAATGGTTTCTCGTACCAACACTGTTCTTTGCTTCCAACCCTAAACTATCTGGTTAGTACTATTACAACCAAGAGCAATGTCGGTTGTGTTTCCATGGGTGCATCCATTGCTTCATCAAGAAGATCCCACATGAAAACTGTTACTGTGAGCGAGTTCAGAACTCCATCTACCTCATACTGTGTTTCTGAAAAGTAAGAAAGTATTTGCTTGCAATGAGGCCTCCCCAGATGACTCTGCACCCCACTGTTTGTAACTGAGGTGATCTGAGTTACATGTTTTCAGTAATTCTCGATGGGTTTTTCTCTTTGCATTTGTACAGCTCTTTTTGGATTCGTTTAAACACTCA